TTAGGCTTGGACCATGTGTTAGATTCGTTCAATGTTGTAAAACCTTACGATTTATTAAGATAAATATTTTTCCTGGTCGTCGCACTAAGCAAATGGAGCCAGCCTGGTGCCACTTACACTAAGCATCGTCTTCTTTTTCCGTTATTCCTGCGCAGTCGCAGGGTCCGGTCTACTTACCACCAAGCATAGGGTCTAAAGAATGAATCTAGCGCTATTTTCTGTTACGTTGACAAAGGGTTTTTATGTGTCATATGGTGGAAAGAGGGAGAGGGAGGGGTGAGAGAGGTGAGTTAGGGGGGGGGGGTAAAGAAGGAAGAAGGTGACACAGAGCAATGGACTGTCTCTTGGATTGCTATGAAGGCCTTCAAAATCTTAGCTGACTATTACTGCTAATAAATACTTCGAGAGCTATTGTGAATTGTAGTAAAACGCTTTGGATGCCAACACAAGCTTTACTTCTTTCGAAATTTTTATCACATATGGCTTGCAACTGAGATGAAACAACAGAAACGATAACAATAATGGATAACAAAGAATGGCACAGGTAAATGCTGTATTGAGTCATTTCAAAGAAACTTCAAGAATATCACCGGAAATTCTTTCAAAATAGCTTGAGATTATATAATAAAATTAGATCACAAATTATCAATATCGAGGAAAATCCTTGTCAATTTCATCCGCCCACGCTTCATATCCACCACGGATATCACGGATTCGGAGAGAACGAAGTTTCTTTTTCAAAATTTCCACCGCTAGTTGAGAATCGTTCCCACGGTGACATATTACAAACACTGAAACAATAACTATCATTTTCCATTATCACATTTTGAGGCCACACAAGAAGAAAATGAGCTTGGAGCTAATCAGCAAAAAACCTAGAAAACAGCACGAACTTTCGTCAAGATGATCTCCTGCAGAAGTTAATCCTAACCGCTCGCTGATAGAGGCAGAGTCTAGTTGCCGAACTTCGTCCAAGGTTACGTCTAAATAATATACGTTGGGATAAGGTATTTTGGTTTTTTAAACTGAAAAAAAGATTTGCTTAAAATGAACAAAACCAACTTTTGGCTTCTTCGAGACTGGCAATGGCGAACTCGTGAGGAGGGCGAGTATCGAGCAAAACTGGAGGTCCACATGATCGAATTCTAGAATAGTCGGTCACGGTGACTCGATCCTCTGGTGGGAGAATTGAAATATTTTGTATCTAAAATTGGCGTTCGGTTCAAGGGTCTATCAAGAAGCACTGAACTGAACCATTAAAAACACGCGGGTGGTTGGAAAAAGAAAACCGCAAGTCCCTCTCGGAACATCTTTTTGAAAACGACTGTTCAGGATATTTTCTCGGAACACCGTTACCGCCAACACCGAATACCGCTCCCAGCAAGTCATATACAATGATACAATTTCAACGTAGAGATTTCTGTGCCATACAGGTTGTGCCAAAAAAGGAAACAGTGATCAAAATACTGGTATAGATCTCATTTAGAGAGGTAATCATTGCATCATAAAGGCAGGGCTGGAAAGGGAAGGATGGAAGGTACATAAGCTTCAAAAAAGCCACAAGGCAGTCTAGCCCACCTTATCACAGGCTCCTGAACAAAAAGCCACGTAATCAATAAGTTCAGTAATAGTAGGATTATCTCCGCAAACATCGCACTGCTTATTCCGATGACGGAGTTGAATTGTCCGTGATCTTCCACAGCTTCCATCGAAGAGATACATTTTCGAAGCAAAATTGGCTAAAAAAGACATATTTACAACTACAACGGTGGAAATGTTTCCGTAAAAATGGAAAATTTTAGACACAGCACAGTAATGAGTAGCCTGGCACACTAGATATTGGGTACACTTACGTGTAAGTCCAGCAGCGATTTTTAGAACTTCCAGGGCCTGTAAGCTGCCAATGATCCCCACAACAGGTCCAAGAACACCGCCCATACAATGGTGTCACATGGGCTGGATTTGTCGGAACAGGAAATAGGCAACGATAGCAGGGACTTCTCTGGAACTGATCTTAAACGGATATGATTAATTTATTCAATCTGCTTGGAGTAGCGAACCTCTTCACTGCCATCAGTGCAGTTGTACACTTGTTTTTTTTCGTAATTGACCGCCTCGCAACGCACTACCACTTACAGCGGTTCGTAGAACACATGCGTCATTCAGAAGATACCTAAGATTAAATTTTCGAAGTAGCTATGAACAACCTCACAAAGTCTTAAACAATACCTCGTCGCAGGGTTATCTGTGCAATCGACACAATATCATACAGTCTTAGAATATCTAAGCGCATCCGCCTGTCGAGCAAGACATTGTGTAGCACGACTTTTACATCGCTGTTAAGCCTGAAATCTTTGTCCATTATGTGATAGCAACATAGCGTGCAATTGAACAGTTTAGGAGCGTTACAACGTCTATCAGATTGTAATACTTCGCTGAGTAAGGTTTTCCTCTCTTTATTGACCAATCATTCTACTGATTAACAGGATATTATTATGGTAGAGGATAAAACCGTTAGAGGGCATTCGACATAGCAATTCGTTTCCCAAGTTTCATCACAGAATGAAATACGGGCAATACTCACTAGATAGCGCGCGTTATATACATCCTTGATGTGGCATGCCACAGTTTTGGGTTTAAGGCGCACAGACAGCCTTAAAGAAACGCTCCGCCAAGTAGTCATGAAATGTGGTTGGGAGGCTTCTATTTTTTGGCGAAGCTGAGCGAGGCTCTCAGAAATCCGAGAGAGATGCTGTTACGGAAAAAGAAATCCCTGGGACCGAGTTTGTCGTGGGATCCCGGACAGCCTGCACCATCACCTGTGCCTAGTCAATCGTCTGAACAAGCGAAGCCGAATTCATTCCGATGGATCCGATGCCACTGATGCTGATGTGCAACCAAAGCGCGATCACATCGAGGGACCACGATTTGAACTCGAGGTAAGTGGTTGAGAGATGGAGATTGATTTTTTCTTGGCAAATTTCTATTCAAAAGCATCCTTTAATGAGTTCTCGGAGAATGGTTTCACTTAAGGAAATAGGTTTCTTGATGAGAATTATTGGGTGCTGTGGAACCTTTCTGGGCCATTAGCGCTCAGTGCATTTTCGAAGGTTTAAGCTCAAAGCTATCTTGTGTGACTTCACAGCCGTCTGCCTCATCAGTGCGTCACAGATTTCTAAAAGGTCATTTTAAGGTCCTGATATTTTCTACACTTCTACACCTCTTTACGCGTTTGATAACGAGAAAAGCTGCGGAATAATCCAATTTTTGCTAGAATTTTTGAGTTTTTGAGTTGTTTTGAACCGAATTCCAGCCATTCCGGTGTCTCGTTTAGACCTCTTGTGGACATTGTTCTTTGGTGGCCGAGTATCGAAGTGAGCTGTTGAAGAACGAGATCGAAAGTGCTGTAAAGTTGCTGGCCAGACGTCTTGGCTCCACTCCACGGATACGAATGCCCTTACAGGGAATGCCCAACATTGTCGTCTCATCGATTTCTTCCGATGAAGACGACTATTTATCGTCAGGACGGCAGAACAGCACCGATCGCGGCTCATCGCTGCAGACTTCTGAGGCTAGGTAAGTACATATACAATGCTATTTATTTTTATAGTAATACATTTATGCGATTTGTTAAGTTGGGAAGCCATAATGCTTGATTCTTTTGGAATGCGCCATGTACTCTCTTTGTGACACTTCATGGTTTTTGCCCGTTTCTCGATCATTTTTTGTACTCCACAATTTTACTCATTTTCTTGAAGGCGCCTTTCGTGCTAATTTCACTGCATGTAGAAAAGTGGCAAAAATGGTTTTGGTCGCTGAAAGAAGGGATGTACTTCATCACTGCGGCAAAAAGTGACTTAGAAACTGCGACGTTAGGCCCGGAATCCTTGTCAGCCCCCCTGCTGGCAGCCACGCCACCCTCTGCGTCTCTCTTGTCTCTCTGCTCTCTCGCTTTTGCTACAATATCGTGCAACTCCTTGAATCTCTAAGAAAAATTTTCAAGGGCTTGAGTATATTTCGCTTTTACGCAAACCTTACCATACCTCCGTTCTCAAGCGTAGTGAGTATGACAATGTAATCACGCTTACAACGCGCGTGTTTTTAGATTGTACTCATGTCATCGGGCAACCAAACCTTCAACCCTCCGTGGTAGTGATTGTCATACTTGTCTGAGAATAGAAACACTGATTTATATCGTCTGACGCCGCAAGTCATTGTATAAGCCAATCTGCATTTTAAACGCAGCACAGATGTAATATGAAAGTAAAGCCTGCCGCATTTTTTTGTTTTCCTCCTGCTTGTTGATGAGACAAAACCCTGTTTTCTACTGAACCCACTCTCATTTCTGCTACGTGAGTATGAGTCTCTAGGTCCGGAACTGCATCCACATTGCAGTAAGTAGTTATTTAATTTTGATTATTTTTCGATCCATTACCTCGCTCGTCAATTCTCCTACTTTATTTATTATACCACCAGGCCAATCAAGCTTTCCCGTACGGTTTCATAAAGGGGGGGGGGGGGGGGGGGGGGGGGGGGGGGGGGGGGGGGGGGGGGGGGGGGGGGGGGGGGGGGGGGGGGGGGGGGAAGAGCTCGTTTGCGAAGACGAAAATAATGGCTGGTACATCGTATGTCTCACAACACAAGCTACATATTGCAACTAATATGTATTCAAGGGACTCTATTCCTTGCGTAAAAGCCGTAGTGTGAATCTCAACGACAGGATAATCGCTGAGCGCTTTATCCTTTTATCTATTATCCATTAAGCCGCCATTAGGCCTGGGCGGAAGTTCAAGAGGTGAATGGCACGGCTACATGGGCAGGATATTGGCAGTGCTCTGCAGACATTACTTATACTTAACGATTGAGAAATTTACTTTATAAAATTATTAGGGCTGAATTTTGAAACTTGAATGGAATGCTTCGAAGGGATCTTCCTCTTCCTCCCCTCCTCTCGTACCATTTATAAAATGGTCCCGCAAGTACATAGGAAAGCACTAACCCACTCTGAATTGCTGAAACGAGGTCCACGATAGGAAGAATTGCAACGACAGCAACTTCACTCCTCCTCCCTCATCTCCCTTTATCCGTTCCCGAACACGGCAATAGCGTGACTGTCCCATAGACGCTCAGTGAGCAGAATTCGACTCAACATCATGCAGGTTATTGCATTCTACTTTGTCATTCAGTTGATAATTTGAACTTACATCTGCTGGACTGCCGATATATGACCACTGAAACCACAGGCCACGCGCCGCCTCAACTCTTGACCCCTTCTCTGAAAAAGGTTCCTCAAACAGTGCAGCGACGGTGGCAGAGCGTGGACGTCGCTAAGGTTCGGTTTAATCTTTGGACCTGTAAATATACTATGGGCGGTCAATCAGCTGCATGCCTGAAATTACACGAATCACCGCAGAACGGTCGAGTACTACTACTAGTAAGTAAGCTACTCGTTCTCTTGCGCTAAAGAACAGGAAGACAGCACAAGGAAGGACAGTATTTGCTAGGAAGTTGGCATCTGATTCCTCATTGCGGGTCCATTCGAACCTCTATATGGCTGTTTAGCTGAGGATTACAAAGTTTCAAGGAAAAACCCTTAATATTGCCAATAACTTATGCCGTGATTCATGCAAAACCCCATATGGCGCTTTTTTACTCGAGTCCTTCCTTTTTGTTTCATCGTGCTCGTGCCTATCCTAGAAGAGTAGCTCTTCATTAGGAGAAGCCATGTTTGGCAGCCGCTGAATTTCTCGGACCCAATTTGTAGTCCAGGCTCGTTAGTTCGTTTGGCCAATGAATGCTCTCCTAATTTGAAGATCCACAACATCTTTTGGACGGAATGCAGTCGTAGATGACTTTGTTTGCCGCATCTTTGACGCTGTGCTCCGACGTTTTTTTTGCGGTGATTCTAATCCGCTTAGTCGACCTGAGGGGCTTGAGATCTCGAGACAATATCCGCTATTCAATGAAGCCTTTTTCGTTGATGAATTTGCGATGCGGGTGATTATCCGTTCTCGGAAGCGAGGTTTTGCCTTCTACGAGAAACGATGAAAGCTACCTCGTGATAAAAACCCGACAAGAAACCACGTTCCTACAATCGTGACTCAAGCGATCTTACAATCCGACGCAGGAATGGAGAATCAAGCGACAAAGTTGCGCTACATTTCCCGTCTGCTCTGGAAAATGAACAAAAAGGTGCACTTATCGACAGTCGAGGAAATTTAACAAATGACAAAATTTAACTACCTAAAGAAAATTCCCCCATTCGAGTTTGTTAAGAGCAATTCAGAGAAATATTCTTGCAAAATAGAAGAGCATTTCTGGAAAATGAGCGAAAATTGTCGAGAGATGGCAATAAATTATTTTGGGGCGCTATCGCAATATACGGGGCATTGTGGTGTCAGTGCACTATAAATCGCGTGAAACATTTCCTTGTTGTTGAAATCGGGACTAAGCCTTAGGCGGGAGTTAGAGACACCAGGGTGCATGAGCAATTTTCATTTCCCCACTTTCAAGTTCCTACCCTCTTCTAGACTTAGTCCCGAAGTATGCCCCCGTATATTGCGATAGCGCCATTTTTGGTTTGAAGGTTTAAATATTGAGCATAGATAACTTACAAGGGATGCGCCACGCGCTAGGCAACCATTCGGAATTGCAGTCACTTGAATGCGAATTTGGCTTTGAGTATGACTAGCATAGGCCATCTTGTGTTTCAAATGTGTATTGATCGGCTTAAATGTTGGGCGTCAATTTTGTGACCTTTTAGAATTCAAATCGCTGCTTAGTTTGAGGGTCCTTCATCTGGATCAAACATATGTAGTGGAGCTCTTTTCCACTATATACAGCGACTTTGTTTATGGGCAGTTTGCTTAGAGGCTTCAAATCCACAGCTGATTGAAAGAGCTTAAAGGCACGTTTTGAAGATTAAATCGATGTGGTTATCCCACTCGAATGTGGACGAAGGCTCGCGAAATGGACCGCAAAAAAAAGGAAAAAAAGTAAAGAAAGTAATAAATATATAGGAATATAGCCTTCGAGAATGGTCAGACAGGGAGATGAGAGATATGGAGTTGCGAAGAGGATGAAATCTGTGAGAGCAAACACAGATCGCATCGTACGCGTGGAATATGCCCCTGATCTTTGGTGAATTTGGTCACAGCCCACACCCAACGTCTTAGCGATGCTTTCGAAGAAGCAAACAGGTGGCGATCTATGCTGTGCACGCGACACCATTCAGAACGACTACTTCATTGGAGCTGAGCCTGAATCTCGCCTTTAAACAAGGAGTGAACCACTGGAACCGCGGCTTTCAAAGCATTGCCGCTTCGAGAGGCAGTTAGATGTGTTTTGTTTACCTGAATACTGACGAAGTTTTAGTAGTAACATCGTGGTTATTTCGCTCGGGATTGATTGCTGGCATTGAATAATCACTATTCTGCCTAAGGAAAACTCGACTTAAGGACTTTATCTAGTCCGAATACCGCGAAATTGTTTAACTTCCGAGTGACATGATGAATTGGCTAGAGTCAGCCTGTTTTGGAACGTTCTCCATAAGAAATTAAATTTTCCGTAGAACGTTTTGACCTCACCTTTTTGATTTTTGATTCTTTTCATTTAATATTGATAAGAAAAACTAGACGCCGTTCCTGATTTGTTCTGCTGTTTGTGCTACAAATGAGAAAACTAGGCGGTCAGGACCTGGGCGGGGGAGGGGGCATTTGAAACAGTGCCTTTGAAATCCACGATGAGGGGCCCTGGAACTAAGCCCAGGAGAGGAAGGAAACACCATGCAGAATGAAATTTGCTCACATCCTCCCCCGGAGTATCGTCCCCTTCCTAAGGCTTATGTAGCTCATAGCAAAAGCACTGTGTGACTGGCTCACTCACTTGAGTGTACCCCCCCCCCCTAACGACATGAGCGCCGAACATTTATTACCTATCAGAGATTGTAGCTGATAAGCTTAGGAGATATGATAACTATGCCATTAAAAGCGGGACTGAGGTCAGCTGGTACTACAGGATTGTCATGGGTAGCACAATTGCCCCGTAAGTGAGTCGTGCGGGTTCGATATTCGCTTGTGGCACGATGTTTTTCCCTGATACCTCGCAATCTCCAGTTGTACACTGTAGTTTTTTGGAGCTGTTCTAAACCTTTGAACCATCTTATCCTGTTGTGCAGCGCTGAGAAACCGCTGGGACAAAAGTCATTTACGTGAACTTTAAAGAGCGGCGTTGTATTCGTCTAGCAACGCTTGAGAAAATCCTATCGCGTGAACTGAAGGATTATTCTCGTTTTTTTTGGTGGGAATTGATTTTCATACAAGATTTACTTAAGCTGCCTCGAGGTGGATAAGAAGCCATAAATCCTTTCCGTAGAAGGAGGATGCAATGCACTTTCTACTACCTTTGTTGTAGCTACAATTGATTGTGTTTGAGGGATGACGCTAGCAAAACCATGATATTTCTTGGCACTCGTGATAAGAATCACATCGAATGGTTGACCCCAGATTGGCTGAGCGGCCGAGCCCAATGGACCAGAATCAACCCATGTCAGAAAGTTTTGAGACAGCGACCCCTGCTGGA